TGATTGATTTTGTGTGTCTCTAATTCTTAGTTCGCATCTTGAGCTTTTCCTCTTGTTGATAACCATACATTCTGTCTACTTAGAATTTATGTATAGTGCTTTCTTCTCACTTTCCTGCCTTCTCTAGGAGTTACTGTAATTTGCTTTCTGTGTCTGCTATCATCATTGTGTCATCTGCATATCTTATGTTGTTAAAATTGTGTTCACCGATAATAAATCCTGTTAGGACTTGTATTTCTCTCTGCACCACTTTTACCCTTAGTAGAGCCTATTTGGTTATCATATGGTGATATAAATAAAAATAAATTTTTACGTATACATTAGGTTGATGCAAAAGCTTATTTTTGATAATTTAATATTTAGATAATATTTTTTTCAAGTTTACTCTGCTCTTTATTAATTGTACAGTCAACCAGTAAGAAAAATTCAAAAGCGAGTAAAATGGATTCCACATGACCTTAAAAAAAAGGAACATGAGTCACCATGTAAAAACTTGTCTTTTTCTTGTTTAACCAAAAAAAATACAACCATTTTAGGAAAATGCAGTCATCTAGAAATGAAGCAAAGTATTATGGGATAGGAAAAATTCGTTACAAACAAAGAAAAGAGTGTTGAACTGCTATGTAACATCTAATCCCCTATATGACAGTGAATGCAGAACAATTTCTTCACAGATCAAGAAGAGACTTGAAGCAACAGAAATATGGTTCTACCGATGAATACTAATAATATGAACAGAGAACGTGAGTAACAAGGAAGTTTTAAGGAAAGTAGGAACGAAGAAAATTGTACTTAGAGTTGAAACCTCATGGAGACATAATGAAGATACAGGGATTGGAGAATTTAACACTCAGATAACATAGTGAATGCAAGAGAAGTAAGGGGAAACAGCGAGTAATCTACTTGATGAATTTGCGTTAATGGATGTCAGAACAAAGACAAGAATAACGAGAAAAGTGTCAAAGGTTACTTAGAGTAACTAAAGACGGAAAGTTACGGACATCCATGATCACCCACATCCTGAATGGATCAATAAGAGAGGGTCAATTTGGGGACCTTGTGGCACGTAGTGCACCAGGTCTCTGTAATCGACCCTTCAAAAAGTGTGGATGGTCCTGCACGAAACTTTCACCACTATAATCAAATCTCATGTGCTATACATGCGGGTTTGGGGACCGCTTGTGAATTCCAAATTCCCATGAAACTCCAATATTGGAACCAGCTCAACCTACCTCGGGTGAATGCCGTTACAAGAACAAGAAGAAGGTCAAGTTCTGGCAATAATCCAAAATGAAAAATAGATCCGAGGACTGGTTTCAAAATATCCACCGAAACGTTATTTACTGAGGCAAATGTTTTGTATTCAAAGGGAAGTTATTTTATTCTGATGAATCGCGCAATAGGACAAGGACAACAAGCATCCAAAGAAGAGACGAGTTCAAATTCATGGCTAGTCTGTTGTATTAACGTTTACACAAATGCCCTTGGCAAAGTCTCTTCTCCCCACTAGCAATTATTTAAATAGCAGCTTAAAATGGTATCTCTAACTTTGGATGGCAATCAACATAAGAGAAGGATAACTCTAAATTCCAAATCATGGAGAAGACAACATGAAACCAATTCACCGTCTTTCTTAAGAAGGAACGGTAATGTATGGATAAAGAAAAGGAATCTGTGAATAATCTTCAAAGCTAAAGTACTGAAGGACATTGCATTAATAAAATAGAATGCTAACCTGTTAATAAATGATTTATTTATTTATTGTTTTAATTTTAACGTTCATACAAAAGAAACAATATCCATATTTATCTCAAAGAATTTAAGTACAAAATAAAACTAATAATTTTTCAGGGTACAAAGTTAAGGGTTCCTTAACAGATTTTAAAAACGTTTTAACAGCTTGTTAATTTTTCAATGAATTTTGGCTGAATACACTAAGAAAACTGTTTCTTCAGATATCTGAGTATAATGCACAATTTGTTTGAGTCCTTATTCGAAACTTAACTCAATGTGTATTTTTGACACAGACTTCGTTCAAACTGTAAAGCAGCTACTATCAATTCAGTTGATTATATAACTGACAGGGACTTTGATTTACGCTTGATATTCAGAACCTGATTTGGTGCACCTGTCCTTGATTTGTTAATCTTTATACTGGCTCTGTTTGTTAGCAAAGGGCAACGACAGTAAAGAATGTCATTTTTCACTAGATGAAGACGTGGCATCTCAAAAAGTATCTAAATGGTTTGTTTTGTTTTACGGCATATCAGTCTCAATGGATTATTTAATGTTGACAACTTTTTTTTTCTGGTAATATTTTGTTTTGTCAAAAATCTATTTCTGTTAATATTTTTTTCCTAAAAAATGTATAGCTAGTAATATTATTTTAAAAAATGTATTGCTGGTATTTTTTTTTCAAAAATGTATTGCTGGCAATAGTTTTTTTTTTCCAAAATAATATTGCTGGTAATAGTTTTTCCTTGAAAAATTTATTTCTGGTAATAATTTTTACAACGAATTCCTGGTATTAAAACCTATTTTTACACTTTCATAAGGCTTTTTACCTCATTTTGGGGTTAACTATTTGCCCATAGTTGGGACCATAACAGGTGCTACCACCCCGGGTCAGGGTGGACCTGGGAACACTAGCAATTACGAGGTGGTTCCACGCTCCGCAAAACCTCTTGATCAGAGGCCTTGCTGTTGGACGTAGTTTATCGTCTTACCCTGGACGCGAATGTAGCTTATCGTCATACCTAGGACGAAGTATCTAAATGTGTGTGAACCATAAGCAAATCATTTATATCCAGTTTCACTTCCCTGTAGCTAGTATAGTCATGTCCTTGTAAAATCCATCGACATGAGTATTGGCATTCAGTTTGAACTGGTAGAGAAACGTTAGTATTTTAAGCATGAGAGTCATTAAAATTTTTAATACTTTAATGAAAGCACTATGGATAAATGTATATTCGGGCTCATAACCAATTTATTTTATATGTCATCAAATAAACGAGCAATGGCATATTTTATCAGTTATCTTTACTTATATTTTTGGTCTTTGAGTGTGTACAAATGTGTATCTGGGTGATTTTTTCATGTAACATCGACTAAATTAATCTGTTTCACAAACTGATAAAATCCGCCATACTGTTATTTGAAAGTTTATCTAATAATCCCTAATCTATAAAAACAAAGAGAAAAAAACTTCCGCGTGTGACTGAGTTTTTTTTTTTTTGTTTGTTTTTTTTTCTCCTTTAAATTATATATTAACATAAAAAAAAGCAAAAAATCAAAGCATTAGAAATTACCGTCAATTGCGGCGTACAGTCGACCTCGAGATTTTTAGCTCAAACTTCTGTGTTAAGTCTATACCTATCGTATAGATCGACTCCCAAATCTATATATTCAATAAACTGCCATTATGTGCCGTGAAAATGATAATATGAACTGTTATTACTATCATGAAATTGTGCAGATTCATAGCATACCTAGTTGTCTGAATGGCCGCCCGAGTTAAACGGCAGGTATCAATTGTTGGATGCGTGCTGTAGCGTTAATAGAATACTGAATTTGTGTTACTATTTTATATTAATTTCTGTGTTAATGTACCAAATATATTCACCAAACACATGTTATAATGGGATATATTTGTGCCAGCCTGCTGGAGGAACGGTAAGTGATGTATGGTAATTCTTAGGAGTGCTGTCCCACTTGTTTACAACTCGGTGTTAAAGGTTTGCATTTAATACCCGCCATATAAGTCGATCCCTAATATTTAAAATATCCTTTTACGTTTGAAAACTAGACTTCTACGCCGCAATTTACGGTAGATGTTACAGAATCATTTTCGGTATCCCTTATGTAGACCGCATCACTAATGAAGTGTGAGACGCCATTAGACAAGAAATAGACAAGTTGGAAAACCTTATAACCACCGTCAAGAAGAGAAAATTGAAATAGTATAGACACATCATAAGAACCAACAACCTTTCCGCTACCATCCTGCAAGGTGCCACCTTAGGCGAAAGCAGACAGGTTAAATGGAATGACAACGCCACTAAGTGGACTGGAAGATCCTTCACAGAGACTCAGATATTTGCAGGCAAATTGGGCCAATGAAGGGAACTGGTCATGTCCCCAGTTGCGTAGTGACCCAACGACCACACCCCGTCATAAAACTGATGCTCATAATAATGATGGTGAAATCATGTATTACTAAAAGTATTTATAATAATTCCACGATTTTTCATATAAATGATGGTGATTAAAATAAAAGTACCAGATATACGGATACAGTCTGTAACGATTCTTCAAATGAGCCTCACTGAAATCGATAGGAGGCACGGTGGAGTTATGGATAGCGGTTTGCGAGGAATCGGAGAGCCGAGTTTGAATTACAGTCAAATCCATTACATTCACTTATATGCTAATACCCTTGGGAAAGGTATTAATCCTCTTCTCCCTCCAGCTATGGGTAAATAGCAGGACAGACTGGGTTCTATAGCCTTGGATGGCAACTGGTCTAGGAGAAGGAAAACTCTGAATTCAAAACCTGCGGAGGGTCGTTTGTGGACCTTGTGGCATTCGGTGCACCAGGTCTCTGTATTTGGCCCTTCAAAAAGTGTGGATGGTCCTGCACGAAACCTTCACCACTATAATAAAATCTCATGTGCTATACATGCGGGTTTGGGGACCGCTTGTGAATTCCAAAATCCTATGAAACTTCAATATTGGAGCCGGCTCAACCCACCCCGGGTGAATGCCGTTACAAGAACAAGAACAAGAAGGTGTACGAGTGAAAATGTCTGCATTTCTTCTGAGATGCCAAAAGAGACTTCAACCAAACATCATCTACGGTAACTAAATCGTTGATTTTTACACAATTCACGTGTTTTGTTATAACATATGATTATTTTCAGGCGAAAAACAGTATATCATGAACTCGGCTCTTTGGTTTCTCTTCCCGAGCCTTTATCCACTACACCGCCCGCACATCCATGCTTACAGCACTTGATATTCCCATGCGGTCACCAATCTAGGTACTGACCAGGCTCGACGTTGCTTAACTTCGGTGATCGAACGAGAACCGGTGTTTCAGCGTAATATGACTGTAAGCCCTTGACCTATGCAAAACAGACAGATCATTTCCGATAGCTCAGTATATGTTAGGGGTCGTTTTTATACTAACGATATTATGAAAAGAATCTCTTTCCGGAATGAAGATAAATCGATATTTTTCGATTTTGACAAATGTCACGTCTTAAGGAAGATCTCAAGAATACCAATCTACATTTTTTTTTAAAATATTACCCTACTTTTTATGAGTGGACCAGTCTGCGTAATTAATGGCATTGTATGATTTTAGAATAAATGTTTATAACTTTACGGGAACACTTAACCAACTTGAAAAAACATTTTCTAAATAGTTGCATTTTTATTTTCATACATTACATTTTTAGTTAGTTTCTCTTTGTAAACTTTATTTGCTTGTTTTCATTTATTCGCCTAAGTGATGATAAATAAGCAACTAGGGTCACTTCCATTACAATTGTTTTCACGATACTATGAATAAACATTGAATTAAAAAAAAAACATGTCCACTACCTGTTCGACTGTCTTAATAAATCATTTTCATTTCTATCAATGCTAAAATAATTGCCATGCACAATTGTTTTAAATCAGTAGAGTTTACAAAGAGAAGTTAATATTGTCCATGTTATTATTTCAAGATTGCGCACAAAGGAAAGAACTTTGTTTAATTTGTTACAAAATTAATTTTATTTGGTTCACAGACCGACGAAAACATTGAAGCCACAGTTTTCCTTCTTTTGTCGATATTTTATTCATTTAACCTACGTTGTCGAGTCGGTGAGACTTAAGATACACCGATTGTATCCTCTGCAGAGTAAAACCCAGCACCTGCAAACAGACCCTTTTACGGATGGATGCTTGGAAACTCAAGTTTAAACCGAACCTATTCCTACTTATCTATTAATTCATTGATTTTTGTGCTATAAGCTTGACTTATATTCAACATCATCATCATTATTATTATTAGTAGTAGTAGTAGTAGTTGTAGTAGCAGTAGTAACTAAAAATGACCGAAATAACTCCACCAATAGTTTGCAACATTAAAGAAGAACGCAATTTACAAAAAGAAAAGATGGTGTTTAACAATATTTAAAAATATTTAATTATTATATCAACGCGAGTTGATATAATAATAATAATAATAATAATAATAATGGCTGATTAATATTCTGGTCTTCTGGGGTGGCTATTTAATCACTGTTGCAGAAGCCTGTTCAGGCATATTTGTGTCTCTACAACATACACAGAGTGAATATGTAGTTTATACTGCAACCATGATGAGCGTACTAATATTTGTCTTATGTTGATAGTTGTATACCAAAATAAAACTTCCAACATAAGACAAACATTCGTGGATAATGCTAAAATACTATACAGTACCCAATGCATGGAAAAACTCAAACTTCAATAAGACATTATTATACAAAAGAACCAATCAACATTAAATAAAACTTCTTGAACCACAGAAGACGGTATCTGTAAATGCGTATATTTAATATATGTAAAATAAAGTTTTTGTTGCGGTCTCGCTTCTCTTAGCCGTTAAACATGATGTCTCATTTTGGATTATTCTAAGCTTTCTAAAGAATAATAGGATGTACCCAACGGAATCTTGCCTACCTTGGAAATGACTGAGATGGTCGAAAGTAATTGAACAAAACAACCGAACAATTTACCTCAGACAGTATACCCACATTTCCGATACCAATATACATATATACCATCTCATTCGTAAAAAGGAAAAATATAATAAAAAAAAAAGCAGACGGACTTTGTCGAATGAACTTAAACATGCGTAGATGAATACTTGCTGCCTATATATATATATATATATAGTCAAAGATGGAGTATATCTGTAGGAGAGACAAAATGAAAAGACAAGAGGAAAACTATACTTAGTATTTAGCCGAAGCGTTTTGTCATCTGATGGACTTTCTCAAGGCAATTTTGATGATTTTATTTTTAACAAGTATATATTTGAAAGTTACTCAAATTTTGAGTAACTGTCAAATATATGCTTGTAAAATAAAATCATCACATTTACTTTGAGAAAGTTCATCAGATGACGAAACGCGTCAGTTAAAAACTAAGTATAGTTTTTCTTTTGTCTTTTCATGTTTTGTTTTGTTTTTTTTGGGGGGGGGGTTCGCACACCAACTTATTTATACAGGAATCGGACAGGAGAAGTGGGGGAGGAGAAAAAAGAAAAAATTGTATTAATTGCCTTTATCCGGGTTCATATTGACTAATAAGGTATTTTCGTATGTGTCTTGACATAATTTCCGTCCTTGCTTTCAACAATTCACAACGGTCATGGTATGTGGGTATCTTTAGCTTTCCTTCTTAGTTTACAACAACTGCAACGCGTTCTGCCTGGTTTGACTTTTTTAGTATCTTCCACTTGATTTGAGGGCTTCTTCCATAATTTTCCTTCAACTGCCAAACCCAATCAGCCAACAGTGGTGTGCCTATGGCTTCGTAGCCTAAATGAAGAAGTATGATAGTACCACAGTTTTTTGAAATAGCCTTCTGTAAAACCAATGTATATCTTTTTCACATTACTTATATCTTTGACTTCTGACTGATATACAATGCTTTCCGTGCAACATATACCATCCGATAGACAATTGTCTTTTACTCTGCAGTTACATAACTTTTTATCTTCACATTCTTCACCACTTCTTTTAATATCACACAAAAGCACTCAGCTTTATAGTATTTTATTAAACACCCACAAGAGTTCCGAAGACCTAGGAAAGTGCTTATTAAATAAGCGGAAAAACACTTCACCTATATTGGTTTTAATCTCCGTATTAAAAGGATGGTTGAACCAGAGGACTTTTCGGTTTCTTACTCTTTTACCCCTCAGTTAGTTAGGCAGTTGGGGTCTGAAATTCTCCTCCTTCAACGCAGATTCCTAAACTTTCTTTTTAAAATGAAAGATTTCTTTTGTAGACGGATTTTCTATCTATCTCTCTCTTATATATTTAATGAGAATTGGGATTGAATATGGATTAGAATCTGTTCTTTAGAATGTATTTACCTTAATAAAACCTCTCAGAGGACGAAATGCGTCGACTAAGATAAGTTTTCCTTTTGTCTTTATTCATATTGTTCTTTTACAAATATACTCTGTCTGAAATTTTTACTCACATATGTGTTTTTGTGTGCGTAAAGATATATATTTACATATTAATTTCACTCATTATATGTCTCAATTTGAACATTTGTAACAGATGTCCGAAGCGACACACTGAGAAGCCAACACAGAGTGAAATCGAACAAAGCAATGATTCTAATGCAAACTTATTTAATTATGATAAATAATTACTTGCATTTTAATACGCACATGTTTTTCAATGCTTATTTCTCAAAATATTGGTAATTAATTACTGTAATTTGTCTGTATGAATGCTTGTTTGTAAGTCTAGTAGTATAACCCGTCATCGACCGGGTGTTTCATTACTGAGAATTTTTGCCGTTCAATTGGAACAGTTTAAGTTTAAAGTCAGCCCATCCGAAAATCAATATTAGTAACAATAACTGGGTGCAACTGAGGTACATCTCCAAATGGGGTGTAACAATTTGAATGATAGGGCGCCCTAAAAAGAGCCGTTGTTGCGTTCTCAATCTTGCAAGGAAGGAACCCCTTCCATGGACCGTCTTAATAATAATGATAATATAGGATAATTTTTATTTATAATTTAATTTTTTTATAATTCTAATAGTCTTTTGCGTTAGATTTCAACTCTCTAAATTGATTGTACGCTGTTTTTTTGTGTTTTTTTACAGACATTAAAGTTTGCCTTTGATTTTTGCGCAAAGTGTAAAAAAATCACTTCTTTCAATTTTTCACCTTCAACGTTGTAATTTTTTTTTTTTAACTTAAAACCGACACTGAAGAATTATCTATCAAACAAAAAAAAAATCATCGAAATCGGATGAAAACTGTGGAAACGCATTAATAACATCCGATCACAGACACACATACATTTGAGAATTATAGATATAAAGATAACCTGTATGTAAATACAGCCCGTCTAAAGTTATTATAAGCGTCAATAACTCAAAAAGTCCGGAACTAATATTTGTAAAATTTAAAACTAGTCCATTTGCACCCTTGGTATAATTCCCAATCCAATATTTAGTCATTTGTAATGGTTATATTTTGAGATATTTAGAATTTGCTAAAATGAACTGACCGAAGTTATTATACAAATGAAATTAATATTAGTTTAAGGCCTCCGATACCAAATAAAAACTTTTTTCTTTTATTCCATAAGATAATTTGAAACATGGATAATGGGGCGCGTCCCCCTTGAGAGGATGTGGTATTATGGTGTATGGAGACGAGGTTTTGTGGTGAATGTGCAAATTGTAATGAGTGAATGGGTCGTGAATCAAATAAGCTAGGTATAGTGAAGACCAGCCTCAACCACTCCTCTTTATTCGGCCTTGTGCCATAATTGTATTTTTATATACAATAAATATCATTTGAAACATGGATAATGGAAATGATATAACTAATGCTAAAAAACAGAAAATAAAGTTATTGAATGAGGAAATCTTCACAATGGAGATATTAAATGAGCTTTGCAGATATCATCGAACGATAAAGAAGGCTGTTGAAAATGTGACTGAGAACTACAAGCAAAGGAAAAGGCTTTAAGAACGAGGGGAATGTAAATTAAAACGAGTTTTAGCAAAACACTTTAACTAGTGCTTAGATTTTTGAACAGGTTGGAATTGAGGGAGTCAAGAAGGACAAAAGGTGCTGAACTGTAAACTTGGATCTGTCAAGAAATCTCCTAGGTAAACCCCTGTCAGTAAAGCAAATATTTTAAAGTGTCAAAATTGGACGAAGAAATATATGTAAATTGACTTTTCTAAAGTAATTTTCACGGACGAATTTCAGGTGACACTCAGTGGACTTGATGGATAGGCCAAAAATGTATTTATCCAATGCAGATGTGCCTGTGGCTAAAAGCAGGCGGCAGTGTAATATAGGCTTGAATTGTCGACCAAACAATTATTGGATCATTCAAAGTCGATGAAGAAATTAAACTGAACAGTGCTAACTACTGTGATTTCATAGACAAGACTTTCTTTGAATGGTACAAGTCCTAGCCTCGCAGTTTCAAAGTGAAGTTTGTATATATACAAGACAGTGCTCTGTCTCATGTATATAAGGTTACCCGTGAATTTTTTGAGTGTAAACGTTTTACAGAAAAGAAGATAATGGAAGGCTACCATCAAGTCCCGATCTAAATCCGATAGAAAATCTATCGTCAATTTTCAAGATGAAATTACATGAAGGTGGCAAACAATATGACAGCAAAACAGACACATGGGAAGCGATTAAAACCACCATGTGTGAAATTAAACCTGCTGAAGTAGAAAAAATTAACAAAATCAATGGATAATACAGAGTGTCCATAAAGTTCGTATGCACTTTAAAAAATTTATTTGTATTTGCGATAGAAATAATCTGTAAAAAAATGTTATAAAGTTTAATGTACCTAGTTTTAAGTATAGCTAAAATAACTAATGTGATTTCAGGCATTACTGTAAATCAGTTGGCAAATGCTTTCCGTGAACTGCAAAATCGTATTACGCTTTGTATTCCAAATGATGGAGGACATGTGGAAACTTAAATAAAATTTCAATAAAACATTAAAAAAATATAGATTTACTTCTTTCTAATCCTTTTTACAAATTATTTCTATCACAAATACAAATAAAGTTATAAATTTTTTAAAGTGCACACGAACTTTATGGACAGCCTGTACATAGCTGGCTGTTATTGAAGTGGGGTCAGTATATTAAAATGGAAATGCTTCCAATACTTATCATATATGTTTGTTAATTGTTCTATTCTAGGTGTTGATCAATTGTTGATGATTTTATTACCTTTTTATTTAAGTAAAAAGTAATTTTCCGTTTTTACATAACTTCAGATTGAAGTTTTTATAATAAATCCAATAACTTTAATAAATCATGTTGAAACAACCTAAACATTCAACTCGTATAAATTAATCGTTTAAAATTTCACAAACATTTTACAAAGTTACTGAGGTTTATATGATTTGCATAATAACTTCAGACGGACTGTATGTTCAGAAAGATTTAACTTCGATAAATACATCTGCCGGTAATTGATAGTTTATTAACAAACAAGAGTTGTCCTTGATTTGTTAATATTTCGATGTGTATGTATAACATTCACCGAGCATTATGAACTTTCAATGCTTTTTCCCCCCATTGCTCCAAATAAGAAAATTAATAACTCTAGTCAAATGAAATAAAGAATTATTTTTACAAAGTAACTCTAAATTAGAATGAAAAGCGAAAAGTGATTAATGATGAAAGCAAAAAAAAAAAAAAGAATGTCCGATAATTTTCCCAAATCTCCATATCTACCGAATATATTTGCATTACTGAAAAAGAAATTGAATTTATCTTGCAGTCGAAAAATAATTCTTGAAATATACAGGTAAAAAATCTATTTATACATAAGTGTGCATTGGTGGAGGGTAATTCTTGCATTAAAATTGAAGGTTTTGTTTTTCAAATAAGTATCTTTTATCAATAACCTATGAACATTTTAAAGTTCAAACGGGTTATTTCTATATAAAAAGAATGGCACGTATGAATGCGCATGCGCATTTTATTACTTGGAAATAATTATGATAATGTGCTTCCTGATCATACGAATAGCAGAGTTAACGTAAACTTTTTTGTTTTTAATCTAAACTATGTATACAGGATGCGATAGGTAAATTGCCGCCATTATATTTTTTTTTATTTCGCGTATGCGCGTTGTTTGTTTTTGATTTTGTTGACTGCACAGTATAGTAGGGTCAGTTGGGCACCACCTGCAAGAAAAAGAGCACCATGACGTAATTCACTCAGCCAGAAACTTGAAAACGATATGTTGTAATGCTAGGCATTTGAGCTGGAAACTCCAATACAAACACTTCAGAGTGCTTGGGTGTCAATCTGAGGACAGTTCAGAAGATTTGGAAAGGGTTGGATGAGTCTAATGGTGATTACGAAGGTACAGCAGCTCGGAAAAATCATTCCGGTCGTTCTGCTAAGAAAAGAACTCTCGAATATGTTAAGGGTCTCAGCCTCAACACGGATGCCTACATCAAGTGCCTTGAGGGGCGAGTGCTGTCCTGGGTCAAGAGGGTGGCTGCTAGAAGAACCTATATCTGGCAACAGGACTGAACCATGCCACAAGAGTAGCAGAACCCAGTCATGGCTGTCAGGAAATTCCTGGACCACATCACCCTCACATTTGGCCATCTAACTCCACAGACTGCAACCCTCTTTATTATGTGTTGAGGCGCAGAGGGGCGAGAGACCAAAAAAAAAAAAAAAACCTCCCTTTAACACTAAAGATGAACTGAAGATAAGGATTATGGCAGCATTCACCAATTTAAACAAGGAGACCATCCAGGAGAGATACAGGGAATCCCGAAGTCGTCTGGAGGCCGTGGTTGAAGCCAATGGCTATTTTATTGAATATTTTTTTAATAAATTTTCTCTTTTTATTTCAAGATATTTTTGTGTAATTTTGGTAAATATATCTGTTGAAATGTCAGTGGTACTTTCATTTTCCAATAAGTCAGACGACAATTTATCCATCGCACCTTGTATACTATCGTGTTAGTGCTTACGACCACATCACGTCGAAACACCGGCTCACGAACAATCACTGAAGTTAAGCAACGTCGAGCCTGATCAGTACCTACATGGGTGACCGCTTGGGAATACTACGTATTGTAAGCTTGGATGTGCGAATGATGTAATGGATAATGGCTCAGAATTATTAATCCGAGTTCCGTATCCTGTTGGGTTCATTATATTCACTTACGCGCAAATATCCTTGGGGAAAGGTATGAATTCGTCTCTTCTCACCCCAGCAATGGGTTAATCAATAAGATTTTTATCACTAAATGATTATCTCCAAAAAAATAAAAAATTCTTACAATCTAAAAATATTTTTTGGCTTTAAATAACCTGAAAATGGTTGATGAGTTGTAGAAAACGATTCAATCAATTTAGAATTTGTGTATATAATTATGGTTGTGCATCATAATACTAGTTTAAATATTCTAATACTGGTGTTCATATAGGTTGTAAATTAAACAAACGTTAGTCTGTAAACCATGTCTTCACAAAATACGGTCTGGGGGGGTCACATGAGATCCGCGAAACAACATAGTGTGGTCCGCGAGAGATTTTCAAAACAGTCAATTTTTTGTGTTCATCAGGATAAATTCGACGACTGGTCGCGTACCAAAAAAAATTCATTTTTGTGGAAGCCTGACTTTATTCAACCAATATTTCATTGTCTTTGCATTAAATTAATCTTTTTAACTCTCCATAGAAAAAGAAAAAAAAAATAATTTTCTTACCAACACCCTCTCTATATATCTGTTTCTATCTCACTCATTCTCAGAAATTTATTCCAAAAATTTACTCTTTTTGTTACGGGTTAAACTTCTGCGATCAATGTCAACCTTCACTTTTTTTTAATTGTGCATGCCCGCTGTAGAATATTGATGCAAATAGCGTTTATTGTACACAAGATATATTTCTTTTCCAACATAATATCCTCCTTTGTCAATGTACTTAAATCAGTAGTGTTTTAAACACTTTCACTGTTTCATAGAATTGTTACCTGGCTATACTGACTTGTTTTGGTGGGTAAGAAATACACATTTTCTGGGAATAAAAGGCTATAAATATGTTGGGAATGATTTATGGATGCCACCATTTTTGCTTGGATACTCTGTCGTACTGGCTAAGCTAAACAACAAGCTAATTCCCAATATGGAGTTCTCTTCCGCCCAAAATTTGCCATATTTTAAACAATGATAGATAGATAGATAGATAGATAGAACAAGAGAAAATAGTGTGCGAGGGTGTATATTTTTAATCATTAAGATGAAGTACTCAGCACAATTTACAACTGTTTAACTTTTGTTCCTCTAAAATGGAGGAATTCTATCAACGAAATACGAAATACTGATAATGAAATACAGAATTGACAAGGAACTTTATGAGTTTATGTTGTATTTATTACATACCTCTTGTGAATATATTTAACAGACTCCATATATTATTAGTCAAATTTCAAATTTTCCAAACTTACATTAACTTTTTCATTTCACTTCAAGAGAATGTGAATAGGTTATGCATTGTGTATGCGCTGATGGTATGTCTATAGTTTTTATCTCATTAGTATCTCAGAGTTTACATGGATATATATAAAAAGTTTCAAGACAGATGACTAAAAGGGATTTATTATTAGCAAATAGTAGAATAGACTGCGCAGATTACACAACATTAATTGGAATAAGACGGGGATGTCAGAATTAAGTAGGTGTAGAAATTTGACGATCTGGATATCGGTCATAACAAAGAACATAAGTAAAATATATAAATTAGAACGCGCATTGAAATAGCCAAGGGTGTTTCAGAACTCGTCTAAGGCATCGTTATGACGGTTATAAACGAAAAAATATTGTTGGATTGGTATGTAATGTTTACCTTCCTACATGCCTGGGAATGCTGAACAGTCTCGACACAGATCAAGAAAAGACTTGAAACGATCGAAAAATGTCTCTACCGAATACCATACAACAGAGCATGTGACAAATGAGGAATAAAGAGGATATGAGTTACCTTGAAACTGTTGCAAAAAGTCAGAAAGAGACGGATGAAATGCTGGCCTCCTATTATGAGAAAAGACAGTTTGGAGAATTTAACACTTACAAAACACAAGATAAGCAAAAGAATGCAGCGAATAACCCTTACGTGACAAGTCTGAGCAAATGCATCGGGGCATGAGAACTACAAAAACATAGAGAGATCTTAAAAGTACTAGTTGAGGGCAACAAATGATAGGAAGCTGTGGAGAACCATGTTCGCCCACAGTATGAAGGGATAGGACACATACAAAAAGAGAGAAGCGATTGGCTTTTTCATGAACTCCAGATATAGGAAGCGGTTAAATATTGTCTGAGTGGTCGTTAATCTGGGTCATATGTGGCAGGCAAAAATCACTCATAGTTGATGTTATCCGGAATATTTGGCAAAAACTTGTAGAACTCACCCACCATACCACCTGTCCTTTTTTTCTTTCTTTCAGAAGTCTGCCAGTAGTAATTGTAATGGTAAAGGGGTCAAATGTTTGATAGTTATATGTGCGGCATTTCGTATGTATGAGAGTGTCTGTAGAGAGAATTTTAAGCGAGTTATTTGGCGAAAATTTTAGCTTCTTTTTTATTCATTTATATATATATATATATATATATATATATATATAACTTCTTCAACTTTATTTTATATTGTATTATGTAAAAATGTCTTTTGTAATAAAGTGATTGAAGTATTGCGATCTGTCTAGAAAGCTTTTAAATAAGTTAATGCGCGATTAAACGATGTGCTACAATGAGAGACTGGTTTTTTTATTCGCCTTATTTGAATGCATTATAGAATACAGACCGTTCCAATGAAAAGTATGATAAAAGAAAAAAAGTTCTGGAGATATGATTTTTCAAATTATTACATTCACGATATAATGAGAGGGAAATGAAAATAACAATGCATATCATGAATTTAAAGCAGAGATGTCGTTTTAGGTGAGATTCAAGTCGTTTCAATTATTCTGAGAGCGCAAATAAATGAGAGGTTACAGTCAATTTATCTATATACAGAAGACAAATAATCAGGGCCAATGCGAGGGTCTCGTGCCCGCCCTTCCGAATCTGTGATACGTAGGGGAGCTCTCTACTACATGTCAATTTTTATAAGGTAGAATTTTGTTGTAACCTAATTATATATAATAATGGACCATATGCAATATAGGAGCATAATTCAACTAAAAAGAATGAAAATGTATCTAAATATAAATTAGAGACATGTCATAAGAAATCATTCCATGGATCATTTACAATATAAGTGAATAATTGAACTAGAAAAATAAAAAATAAATACAATGTATCTAAATATAAATTAGAGACATGTCATAATAAATCCTTCCATCTTAAATCAATATTTTGCGGAAATGTTTAGCATCAACTTGACATTTTTCTTGTTAAAATGTTGAATAATTTTAGCACATTCATTATTATGAATGAAAAAAAAAAGTGATTTTTATATTGTGCTTTAGACACTGAGTATGCGCAAAACAAATCCAGGGATTTGGACAGAAAAATACCAGAATGACGTAAAAATCTTCGAAATTTTTTCATCCTTTAATAATTAGTTGGCTTAATTTAATTTGTAATGTAGGCAGGAAAAAGCAAATGTTGATAATATAGCAAGGCTCACAAAGAACTGCACGAGGCCCCAAATCGGTGGGTTCGTGGGTAGTACGCACTGGCCCTGCAAACAATACATGTGCTTTTAAAGAACAGTGCATTTAAAACAATAATTATCTAACATTAATTAACACTTGTATGAAGAGTTAAGAAACTAATGAGAATTTTATAAAAGAAAATGATCACGAATCTTTTCAGGGAAATAATTGGACATTTTTCATTCGGGACGAAACATTTTATTCGCTTTGTATCTCATTCAGCGACGCTAGTTTTTAACCGCATTTAAAGTTAATATTTGGTGAGCATTCGTAAGAAAGACTATGCCATGCCGTCATCCATAAATTTCTGCTATGACTTTTCGTTAGCACCCCATTTTTATACGCTATAAATGCTGAAAATGTAGTTTCTAGAAGTTTTAATAATCTTCGATTTCCGCGGGAAAAAAACCCGCCCAAGCCAAAGTTAATTCCCACAAAGGTTATCTATCCTGGTCGATAGCTATGGTGATTATTGTGAAGTACCTTGAGATTGCTACTACCAGGCCTGTTCCTACTACCCTTGAACCCTCTGACCCGGGAGGGACCCAAGCCTGATTTGGGGGTGCAGTGCCTTGTGATCTCTTCGATATCTTATCAAAATTTTCTCCCTACCCCCTACATATACGTTACAAATTAAACAAAACACGACTGATTATTAAAGAATTAAAAATATTTGCAGATTTTAACGTCATTCTGGGATCTTTTTTTCGTCCAAATCCGTGAATTTGTTTTGCTTGAATAACCTCAAGTTGATGTTAAAATTGCCGCAAAACTTTGCTGATTTCAGATGGTATGATCTATTATGACATGTCTCTAATTTATATTTAGATACATTGTATTCATTTTCAATATTTTTAGTTGAATTGTGCACCTATATTGCATATGATCCATTATTGTACATAATTAGGTTACAATAAAATTTATATGAATATTACCTGATGAAAATTAGAATGAAGTAGAGTGGGGTGGTGGACGATTTGGTGGGGGTGATGTATTATAGATTCGACGGGACACGAGACCCTTGCATCGGGCCCTGGCTACTACTGTCACCACGATTTAGGAAAACTGTTTGGTTTAGCAGTACTTTATTTAATAAAGCATTAAAACAATATTTTTAAAAATCAGTTTTTTAAGTTGTATAGAGAAAGTTACCTTCCAAAAGCAAACAGGAAATTTTCAGTATCTGTCTATATTTCTGATATGAAGTATTATGTACACTATTTACATTATTCGGACTATTGTCCTCATCTTTGTCGACATGTTTATCACAACGTTTCGGCCGTTTCCAACCACCTGAAGAAGACCGAAGTGTACAACGGCCAAAACATTGTGATAAACATGGCGACAAAGATGAAGACAATAGTCCGAATAATGTAAATAGGAAATTTTCGTTAGAAACGAAGGAAAGAAGCAACTGT